GGCCAATGCGCCGCAACTAATCCATAAGAAAACCGCGACACTTCTCCGAGCATTTGTCAAAAAATTGAACAATATTCTTCCAAATTTCTGCAGGCGGAGCGCAAGAAATCAGCGAACTATCTTTCCGGTGCCCGCTTGCCCAAAAATCGCATGGCCGCTTGCCCCCGGCGATTATCTGAGTAAGACTCTGTGTGGCAGAGATATCACCGTTGGTTTAATTACTCAAGTTTGAGGTACTTTCTCCCAGCGGAAAGTACCTGGGGGTTGCGCGGTCCCACAAAAGACCGTGCGGCCCCCGAAATTTTTGCATATTCTCGCGGAAAGTCCGCGAGAATGCGGCCACTGCGCCGCAGCTAATCCATAAAGAAACCGCGATTGTTCTTCAAACATTCGTCATTTCGCCAACTTTCTTCCAAATTTCTGCAAGCGGGCGGCAAAAAATCAACGAACTATTTTTCCGGTGCGCGCTTGCTCAAAATTCGCATGGCGCCTGCCCCCGGCGGTTATCTGAGTGAGCGCGAAAATCGATGTAGAGATGGAGTCAGTTGATGAAATTTCCCATGTTTGAAACAGAAGCAGACTTTAAACATAAGATAAATACTTATTTTATAACTTTCGCGTCTTCTTCGCTAGCTGAAAGACCAATGGATGTTTCAAACTTGTCATCATTATTGCACCGACTCGTCCTTGCAATCATTAATCTACTACAAAAAAAGAGCCTTATCAAGATGTGTTTAACTGTTTTAAGAAAAATCGTTACAAGTTTGCTTATAGTCAGTAAAGGGAACGCCTAAAACCAACGAAGCCACTGACTAATTTACTAAAAGACTTTGACGAAAATCGCAAAAGATACCAAAATCTCTAAAAACTAAATGTTCTAAAATCCTGCATAGGCTGTATTCGTGACACTGTGAGGTATTCCAACTAAAAAGAAGCTTCTTAGAAAGAATTCTCAAGTTCGATGAGTACTCAGTAAGAAACAGAGTGAAATTCACGGAATCAATAGCGAAGGGAAGCAGTAGCGCAGATTTGCAGGATATGATATTTTGCAATAATAAGCTTGAAAACATTCATAAGAGTTGTTAAACTAGCCACATCTGCGAGCGACAGCTTGGCTCGTACCTGGATCTCAGATAATCGCCGGGGGCAAGCGGCCATGCGAATTTTGAGCAAGCGGGCACCGGAAAAATAGTTCGCTGATTTTTTGTGGTCCGCTTGCAGAAATTTGGAATAATTTTGGCCAATTTTTAGACGAACGCTCGAAGATCTATCGCGGTTTTTCTATACATAAGTTGCGGCACAGTGGCCGCATTCTCGCAGATTTTCCGCGAGAACATGCAAAATTATTGAGAGCCGCACGGTCCTTTTTGAAGGACCGCACAGCCCTCAGGTACTTTCCGCTGAAAGAAAGTACCCCAAACTTGGGTAATAAAACCATCGATGGCACCTCTGCCACATAGAGTCTCATCTTTTCTCGGCGTACGCCCGAAACTGCGTAAAAAGAGTCTGAGCGCCTGCTGAAAGTTTGGCCAGCGCTCGCTGAAAGAGATTGTTTGACGAACGCTTGCAGAAAATTTTGTATTGATGCCCGCTTGCAGAAAACGCAAATACCGCCCGCTGAAGATTTGGCCACGCCCCGAAATCCTGCTGACCGCCTGCAGAAAAGCGCGAGTTTGCGGACCGCCTGCCCCCGGCGATTATCTGAGATTGCGCGCTATAAGCGCAACTTCGCCAGTGCGCCGCGTGCGCGCGTAACCTCATCGCGAGCTCCGCCACAACCGATCGTGGTTGGTACAGAAACACCACAAACATAAGAAAACCCTCATTTTCTTCCGGATGTGGATATGTTGCAATCATATAAAGACAGTTATCAATATATTCGAAAACTGCTAACACATCAATGACAATACAAGTCAGCAAATTCCTCTTCAGGCATGAAAGCCCTTAATCGGGGCGGCCTCAAGCCTCGATTTGGCGAGGCCGCGCGTGAAAACAGCCATGGCAGGGGTCCAGCCCGTCTCCGAGCGAATCCCGCCACTCCAGCACAAGATCAAAAACATCTGAAAAAATGTAAAAGACGACCTTTTATGGCCTTTCTCGTAATTTTCGGCTGGCACCGTAGTTGGTGCGGTTGCGCCGACATGGTGCCAACGACCGCCAAATTCATGCAAGTGACGACTAAACCTGGAAAAATAAAATTAATGGGGCGAGTACCGTACTGGCTGATAGAATTTTCAGCTTTAGCAGTTAATACACAACTTGTCCCAAAATTTTCGCCCCTGCCAAAAAACATCCTAGACCTCCTTCTGGCTCGAAAACCCCACTTTGTACTGAACCTATGAATCGAACAAATCAAGAATTTCTCGAAAACCTTATACATATCAAAAAATCTCATCAAGCTCTTTCTGTTAGTTCAAGCCGTTTTCCCTCAAACTCGTTTCAAAGCGATTTTGGATCATTTGAAATTCCAAAGATTACCCTGAAATTTCACAGATAAGGCTTCAGGTAAGTCTGTGTACAGATATGTCCAGACTTGTCTGACAGAACTGGGACGTACCTGACAATAAATTCGGGGTAGTTATAATGGAAGGAAAACGGACTTCTCTGTAAGGCGCACTTACTCAGATAACCGCCGGGGGCAGGCGGCCATGCGAATTTTGAGCAAGCGCGCACCGGAAAAATAGTTCGCTGATTTTTTGCCGCCCGCTTGCAGAAATTTGGAAGAAAGTTGGCGAAATTAAAGACGAATGTTTGAAGAACAATCGCGGTTTCTTCATGGATTAGCTGCGGCGCAGTGGCGGCATTCTCGCGGACTTTCCGCGAGAATATGCAAAAATTTCGGGGGCCGCACGGCCTTTTGTGGAGGACCGCGCAACCCCCAGGTACTTTTCGCCGGGAGAAAGTACCTCAAACTTAAGTAATTAAACCAACGGTGATATCTCTGCCACACAGAGTCTTACCTGCGCTCGACGTACGCCCGAAAATGCCTAAAAAGAGTCCGAGCGCTTGCTGAAAGTTTGGCCAGCGCTCGCTGAAAGAAATTATTTGCCGAGAGCTTGCAAAAAATGCTGTATTGCTGCCCGCTGTCAGAATATGCGACCGTAAAGGAAGTGCCGCCCGCTGAAGGTTTGACCACGCCCCAAAATTCTGCTGACCGCCTGCAGAAAAGCGCGAGTTTGCGGACCGCCTGCCCCCGGCGATTATCTGAGCAGGTACAAGTTACTGCGCGCGCGAGGCGCGTACATAGCCTCGCTGCGGGAACCTCACGACCGATGCTGGTTGGTATAGTCTATGTGTATACTTTAGTTGGTTACAGTCTTGTGTGTAAGTGTGCGTGTGGTGTGTGTGTGTGTGTCCGATCTTAGGGGGTTTGTGTGGGCGGGGTTGTCGGTAAATGGAGCGGGGTTTCCAAGAAAGTAGACGGAGTTTGCCACAACGGGAGCTGGGGACGACATGGCGAGGGTATGACTATCCAAATTATCGGCCAACTCCGCAGACTTTCTCATGCACTTCGTGCATGAAAAAAAAAGGACGGAGGGGTCGGAGTTGTCAAAAAACGTGGCATCAACAGCTCCGTCATCGACACTTCATCGGACTTCGCCAGGTCGTCTTCGGCTCGACGGAGCGTGTCGGTGCGTATTCTATAGATGATCTCCGTGAGGCTCAAGCGCTGCAGGGACTCTTCTATAGTGCCTAAGGGCTATTTGAATCCCTTCCCGTCCAAAAATTTCGCTTGAATTACCCAGCTGTTTGAAAAAAAAGTTGAGCATAGTTGCTTTCTGTGTTTGTTGTTCTATAACATAAATAAATAGTAATTTCAGCAGTCTTCTGTCCTTTCAGAAAAACTATTGTTGAGTGGGGTTCCATTGTCTAGAGCTAATTGGGGTGGGGTTTAGGGGTATAATTCGGGTCTAGAGCTTAAATTAAAGCTAGTAGTATGCCAGGATAGGCTTTCGGGGTCTTCCGGGCACAAAGTCGGGTAAGATCCGGGGATAAGTGCGGTACTGCCGCTGTGGAGACCTTGGACGGTACCGAGTTGGTTCCCCGGATGGATCCCATCCGTTGTCTGAGAGCTCTTGCCAGCTACAATATCCAACAAACCGGATCCATCTGGTGGGCTGATTCGGTACCGTCCGGGCTCCCCCAGCGGCGGTACGGAACTCGTGCCCCAGATCCTACCAAACTTTGTGGCCTGAATCCTACCGGACTTTGTGCCACGAGTCCCCGAAAGCCCCTGGCATACTGTAGCTAGCCCAAATTAAGCTTTAAACCCATGAATCTAAGCCCCATCCAATAAGCTCCAGACCAGGGACGAGCAAGCGGTGTGGCATACGACAGTCAGATACGACCCTCGCCCCTCCTCCTGGGCAGGAGCTCAGTACGATCCTCACCCCGTTCTCTACCCCTCCCCCTCCCCTTCCTCCATCCTTAGCATTTGTAGGTAGCAAGATACAAAAATGAAGACAAGACGAGGCATTTATTGCAAATAAATTGCAAAACAGATTATTGTAAATTGCAAAACAAAATAGCATTTTAGTGACAAAGTAGGAGAAAAAAAGAGAGATCTAAGTTTCTGGTATCAACTTAAAGGGGCGAAAAAAGCAATATCTTCACTTTTAAGTTTCCCATAACAAAAAAAGAGACAGGAGCAATACAAAGTTTACAACGTTTCTACATCAGTACAAAACACTAAAACAACTTCACCAACGGCAACGTCACAGCGGTTGCGTTTGCTTCCCATCGGTGCAAGTACGACAAAAAGGTCTGCAATAAGGGTATGTTGTGAGGTGACTTCGTGAAGGGCAATCTCCAGACAGGAGACTAAGGTAAAGTCAGTTTTAAAGAGGTGTACACGAGCTTAAAGAATGAATATATATACAATTGTAATTTTGTTGACGCCCGCATGTTAGTTCAAATTAGAAGTCTACACTGCGAAACCGCGGGCGTTATACAGCGCTCTAGTCATTGATAGATTGTAGACTGAGTGACTTTGTGAAGGGCAAACCTCCATCTATTACAGGATACGTGCCGCACTATGGGTTACCCTGCTAACGAAACTGCTGAGAAAACGCGACATTGCCACTGCTGAAGGTACAAATTTGCCTACTTCAAATCAGAAACACATTGAAATTACGACAGTTTCAATTCAATCCTTCAATGGCTTGCAAGTGGTTGTTCTCGAAAACGAAATAGTGTCTCTGATCTGTCCAAATTGCGACTTAGATGATACAGATGTGAAGTTCATTCAATATAAACACAATGTAAGTTGCAAACAATTTTCTCTTCCAGCATCAAGGTTGAAAAATGAGAATGTACACAAAGTAAAACCACAACAAATGCAATCACGACATTACAACAGGGCCGGCACGAGGGTGGCAAATGTGAGACGATTTGCGTTTGCAATATCCAATTTTTACGATGGCCAGTAGTAAACCCCCTCTCAGCGCAACTCGGCTGGGGGCAGGCCTACGTTGAACATAGACCGCCTCGGTCCAGCATCTGGTGAGCTATTGATTTGCTTGCTGATCGCTTTCTAGACACGGAGATCTTATGCCTCTCCAAAAACTCAACACTTTGAGCAGGTTTAATCGAACGGCTAAGTGGCTAGGTTTCAAGTCGTAAGACCATGGTTCGAACCCGGCTAGTGGCAGATTTTTGCGCCACCACGGACAATCTTTGATAGCGGCCGCTATCGAGAAAAATCAGTGGCGCTATCAAGGATATCGCTAAGCAAATAAAGGGATAAAACGATTTCACCATATTTTGACGAGAATATCATGAAAAACTAAAATTTTGGAACATAGAGCAAATAAAAAAAAATCTTTGGAAAAACGTAAGCAAGCTCTGAAAAGAAGAAGAAATCCAAGAAATCCTGTTTTCTTGCTTTTCTCGCCGCAATCAGCTGTTCATTGATCCTCTCCCATTTAGGCCGCCGAAATCGCGCAGTTTTGGGAGTTTTGCACCGCAAGAATACGTCGACTGAATTTTCCCGTAAGTTACTCACGAGCAACTTACGGGAAATTTGTCTGATCCTTCCCTTATGCACACTATCTCTCTCGGGTCACTCTAAAAGTCAACATTGGATAAGTGGCATTCTGGTGAGCTGACTGTGACACTTGACCAGACAGTCTTCTGACTGTTGAACTGACTATCCTAAAACACGGGAAGGTGGGCGGGACTAGGTTCACCCGAGGAAGTTCTTCTAAATGACTAATCTCAAGTCACCTGAGATGAATGGAGGTTTACTACGGGCCATATTCTCGCTTGATCGCGCTGGCTGTGTGGGTTGTTTAATCGGAGCGCGCTTTAATCCTGAAGAGGACCGGCGTCTTGCTATCTCAAATTTTAATAAGGAGGATGATAGTTTTGTAACCAAAACGTAGTCATTCTTCGAGTCATTTTTCCTTTTTTGCTAATTGGAAGGCTGAAGAAGGCATGGTACAACCTTCAATCACATTATTTTTCCACAATACTCTGCGCCAGGCTACTCCAAGCGTAGATTGTCTGCTTATACTGGGCTGTTTCAAAAGTTCTATCCGATTTTCATTTGCCTTGTTTTAAAGAGCTTCTTAGAATTTTGCCCTTGTCGCATATTATGCATTGTTTAGAGGCATTTTTCTCTCTCTTTCTGGAGCTTTCTAAATCTCGACGAACAGCTTCCCAGTAAAGAAATTTCAACTTTGAAATTAAGCTACCCAAATGTAATTATTCTCAAGAAAAAATTTTAATAGCGAGAATTTTCGCAGCGCCTGTGAAGTTACCTATTTAAAATATTTATAATGATTGAGGGTGTGATGGGCTGACTTACACACACTTTTTCTCCCGTATAGAAGGTTTCTTACTTTATTTTAAATACCAAAGACAAGCGCGTGATGACAATCTACGCATAGCGACAAGTGATGTATTCAATACTGCAAAGGTTAAAGTAAAGCGAGAGTAAGCAGGTACAATCAGACAATCATATTTTTTCATTCGCGACAGCAATAAAAAATCAAATTGCGAAGAGTAGGCATACTTGCACGCGTAGAGGAGGGCATAAATAATGGCTTTTTTTTCTATTTGCCCATAGAAACTTTTATGCGGCAAAGACAGCTTAATTTTCTTCAGCCTCTTCAACTTTCTTCTGAAGTATGGGCTACTTCTTTATGCAGCCAAATATGTCTGCCTATCCTTATTCAGGAGCATTAGTATGTCAAAGTTAGACGGTCTTGAAGGAAATCTTGCAAAAATCTCTAGATCCTCTCTTCTCCTTCACTTGACTTTTTGGAAGAGAATACGGTTTATGTGATAGCCATGATCTCGCATAATCCATAAAAATTTGATCTATTATAAAATGTTGATTTTGAAAGGAGTTATAAAACATCTTGAATCAAAAAACTGCATATTGGATAAAACTTTTGAAACAACCTAATACATCAAATCGGAGTTATATGGTTATATGCGCGCTGTAAACGCAGTTATTTACTGCGTAATGAAAAAATTTTGAGACTTTTGACGATGTCGCGCCCATAGGATCGTGTTTGCACGAGTCGTATAACAGTCGAAAGGTGCGCATACATCGTCTTTCCCCCAGAATTGTTTCCCTAGATACTACGTCCGCTCGCCGCGCTTCGCTTTTTCTGTAATGTTAACTTCAGCAATTTCAAGGCATTTCTCAAAATAAAATGTCAAAACGATCGAGAGTCGGCGAGCTGATGTGATGCCTATGGAAACATTTCTAGGGGACAGATAAACATATGTGCGTTGCTTCGAAAGTGCATAAAATGATCAGATTGTGATAAACATTATCAAAAGGCTATTGAGACACAAGATTCAAAATTGTTTGGGGTACACCTTGGGTTAACTTTGATGCAAAGTAACTTAGGAAAGCAAATCTATAATCGGACAATGGTACGAACCGGGCGAAGAGTGCCTTCTTCGCTACAAAGTCTCAGTCAATGATAATGGAACCTACACCTGCATAAACGGAGGTGAAGGAAAAATTTGGGAAGTTTCCCTCATAGTTCTGCGGCATGAAACAGGTTTAATCAACGCCAATCTTGTACTTTTAACGATGAATTGTTTGCAGATGAGCCGACACTGAACTTGCGGATAAGTTCACCGAAAGCAGTACCGCAAAAAGTCACGATAGCATGGTCAATCGCGAATGTAAAGTCTTTCCTACAAAGACAGTATGTGTCTGTAGTTCTTCAAAATGCTCGAATGTGGTGTTGTTTCCGTTGCCTAGAGTTTGTTGACGTAAAGTCATTTGTTTCACTAAAATAGAAAGTGGTCTGGTCCTACGGAACGAAATGACTTTTCTGTATACCTTTGATAATAAGGCCATGAATTTAAATCCCTTCACTCTAAACTCTTGAAGGAAGCACAACTTTCACCTGAAAAAGAAAGAGAAAACATCCGGGGTAAGGTCCAGGATGCTAACAAAGGAATGGTCAGAAGTCGAAGTGGTCAATCCAAGCAGGCTGCCTACTACTCGATGCAGCATTTAACGCTGACTTCGAATTTGTATTCGTTATTTCCTTATCGCCTTGACGAAGTTATGAGCAGTTTTATTGCGAACAAATCGCGCACAAAATTTGCGAAATTCAGCACATTGTTGCTCTTTCAGCTCATCTCTAGGCTTCAAGAGTGTAAAGTAAACCAGTTGCATGTTTTGGCACAGCGTTAAAGGCACCGTCCACCCTAAGTTGAGGGTGTTGAGGCTTTTGGCAGCATGTAATAGTGAGGCCCCCTATCAATCCAATGCCCAAGTCGCGGCGCAAATTACCGCTTCGGAAGCGAGAAAATCGCTTTGGAATAGCGAAGATGCACGAGGATCCCCATCCATGCCCGCCCTCCTCTATCCATACCCGCCCATTTGTGGCGCCCATTCAATCGACGTTCCGGAAAGCCGGTTTGTGGGTTCTCCGGAACGGGGATTGTCGGGGTTTTCGCGCATTCTCGATTTCATACGGGAATCACGGACATGAGAAAGTTCTGAAACGACAAAAACGTGGAAGTCGAAAATCTGGGTGGACGGCGCCTTAAGCAGAACGTGGCTCACTACTGCTGAATTTGCTCTTTTCATGCATGATTTCTTAGCAAAATAACGGCTTTTAACGGCTCATAACGTCGTCCACAAAGACGCTAAGCAAATAATGAATACATGTTCAAAATCAGTGTTATGCTGCATCTAATGGTAGCAGCATGTTTGGATTAGCCACTTCGATTTCTGACCATTCCCTTGTGAGCTCACAACCATAACAAAATAAGTGTGATTAAAGCGATCAAAGTAATTACCCTGATTTCAAGTGCTATAGTGTGGACCCCGGCCAGCTTCCCGTAGGTACCTCCGCGACGCGCCCGTAGCGCATGCCTTCAGTGCGCCTTTCTCTTCTGCCTCTAGTGGATTCTTATGCTTTTCTCTCTTTACTGGCTTTGTTCTGCTTGTAATCGCCCTATTTCAGGTGTAGACGAACGAGAACTGCCGATTGGGGGTTTTTAAGAGCCTTAAGAGTCTCGAGAGCTTTTCTCTCAAGAATTCCACGTTTTTTTTCCATAATGGCGAAGACTTCAGTGTATTTCAGTAAAAAAAAGTTTTTCAAGGTTTTTATTACAGAATAAGCATGCCTATCAGATTGATTTGTAGTAATGCTTCTCGTTCTTTTGTAGTACGTCATTAGGGCTTTGCTTGTACAGATGGCAGACGGCAGATTGTACAGCTCAAGCTTACGCTTTTTAGCTTTTTTATGACACAGGAGAAAACTTTTCGAAAACGATCCCGACTTTTTGTTCCTTCTACGACTTTCAGTCACTAATATCATACATAGTACGTAGCATGCAAGAGACTGACTGAAATCTGCGCACTAGCGCGACTTGTGAACGTTCTTTTTTTTTGCATAGCCTCTCCTCGAGCTGAGATTAGTGACTTCCATTTCTCATTTCACTTCTGTCTCAAGCAGAAATGCTCCTTTGTTGATAAGCGAAACGAGAAGCGCCAGGTCGAGCGCGCGTTGCGTATGCGCCGCGGCGGTACCTATGGGAAGCTGGCCAGGGCACACACTATAGACTAGAACCCGTTTTTTCAAACTTACCAGTTTGATCGCATCGAAAAGCTGCAAGCGAAGAACCCTCTACTGTTGTGCTCCTACTTATGCTAGAAGAGTTGCGTGGGAGAGCGACCGTTTCGCGCGACGGAGTAGCGCAAGCAAGCTGCTTGCTTAAAAGAAAAAAGTGCTTGTACTTACTAGATTAGAGTTTAACTCGGTAAAATAATCTAGCAATAAAGGATAATTTTTCATAACTTAGTTATTAAGAGAGAAGGTTTTTGTAGTGTCTCAAGGTGGTGTTTCTTACACTAGATAACCTAGTTGCACCATGACTGAATACTGAGAATCCAGGAAAATTGATGGACTTCAACATAAAAACCACAAAACTGCGCTCAAAACTTGCGCCAAGAGCCGCATACGAAACGCTTCGTTCTGTTATACTCAGACAGTCGAAGGGATACCTCCTGCGGGCATATGGCGGAGTCTGCCACTTCGCACTCCGGAGCCCTGTCATTTCAAGCATTTTTGTGCTTCGGGGCTCTCCCAAAAGTGGCGCACCTCCGAAGCAGAGATTTGCGCGTCGCGGAGAGGGGTCCCATTCATTCAACGTGACGTCACGGTGACGTCACAAACAGGACGAATGGGACTCCTCTCCGCGACGCGCAAACCTCTGCTCCGGAGGTGCGTCACTTTTGGGAGAGCCCCGGAGCACAAAAATGCGTGAAATGGCAGAGCTCCGGAGCGCGAAGTGGCAATCCTCCGCTGGGGAAAACCCGCGACCCTGCCATTTCTGCTCCGGAGGTATCCCATCGACTGTCTGAGTAGTGCAACCTCAAAGTTGTCAGCGCTCCTAGTCGTGTAGGGGCAAAGAGAAGATATATAAGGTGATGAGGGATTTCATTGAGCAGCGTAATTTTTAAACGAACCAAATTTCTCGTAGACCCCCCAGGTGCTTTGCCGGGTCTCTGGCTCTCAAATTTCTTTACCCAAATTACCTTGTAGCTCCAGATGTCTACTCATATGGTGACAACGTAGTTGAGCTCTTCTTTTTTTTCGAACTGTACAAAAATTTAACAAAGAAATCTGTATTCAAAATCTTTATTTTTACTTCAGTTTGGGGTTTCTTTTTCACGCGTGTCGCACATTCGACAGGTGTTTTTCTCGTTTATTATACAGGGTGTCCGTAAAGTATGTATACACTGTTTGATCTTTAATATCTCTTTTCCCAAAAAGTGTTTTGCCTTGCTTCAGGTACCATTTTATAGAGCTGGCTTCAACTTAGATTTACAGTATAGAGCGAATCGTCCATCTTTCTGCTTTACTGTAGGATTACGGTAGAAAGTTGAAAGAGGGTTTTGGGCCATGAAAGGCCATATTTTGCCTCAGAAAGGAGACAAAACAGCCTGGAAACTTTTACACTAGGCCAGTTAGAGTTGCTGATTCTAACTCTAAAGTTTCCAGCTTATTATGATGCTTTACTGAAGAGTTATGCGAGGTAAGCAGTAGCGGCCATTTTTTCAATGTTCCTAAAAAATGCGGTTGCACCGTTTAGAAAGCTTCGCAATCTTGGAATAGTTGAGTATTGAACTCAGCGTCCATAAAAACCCTATTACACAAGTTTTTTACATTTTTTTTGAAAAATTTTGAAACGGCAGCTTTTTCCACATTGACACCATATGTTTCAAGTTTCTACCGTAATCCTACACTAAAGAAGAGAGATGGGTGATTCGTTCTATACTGCAACTCTAAGTTGAAGCCAGCTCTACAAAATGGTACCTAAAGCAAGCCAAAAGACTTCTTGGAAAAAGAGATATTAACGATAAAACAGTGTATACATACTTTACGGACATCCGTATAACGTCCAATCTTAATCTCTGAATTCTGGCACTTTGATAAAGGCTACAAAATAGTGCATCATACCGTAAGTACGCAACCATTTTTATGCGTGAGGTTTTTCTGCTCAGAGTCATGAGCAGAACAAGCAGACAACGGTTCCAAAAAGAAACAACAAGACCGCAAGAAAAATCCATATTACGTATGCTTTTTTTTGACATGCATTTCTACTTTGGGCAAAATTCCCCGTTTTTATTACTATCGTTGATTCGTTGAACGCACGGACTGCTCAAACGCTGCGTGCCACGCGCGGCGCGGCTAAAATGTTGCGAGAGCATAATTTGTACAGTGACGGATTTGTACTAGGGCAAGCGTTTTATCTCGCGGCGCGTGCTTCGTAGTAATGTCCAGTCCGTGCGGTTACAAAGTGGTCGAAACTCAACCCAGCCATTCCAAACAAGCTGTATATTAGGTTGCTGCATAAGTTCTGTCCGATTTGAATTTTTTGAGTTCAAAATGTCATAACTTCTTTCAAAGTCAACTTTTTTCCAAGATCTCAGCTTCCTTTGTTGAGCAGTTCCTTGGCTATCAGAAACATATTGAACCTTGCGAAAATCCTTGTTAAGGAAAAAGCAAGAATTTAAAAACTTCACAACGTTTTTCTTCAAACCTGTCTTTTTTGACATGGCAATGCTCCCTTATGAGAATTGGTAGGCATCTTGTCCATAATGGATAGATAGAGAATTGTTCGTAGATTACTTTGCACCATAAAAGAGCCTGTAGGGTCTGCGTTGCTGAGAGATTTTTTTGACCGAACAAAAAATTGGCCACTTTTTGACCTCGCTTCAGCGCATGTGTGCATGCCTATTTACAAATTACGAAAATTTTACAGTTGGCGTGAGGCCGAAAGAAAATTGGTGGATGGTTTCTGCTAGCCCTTGCTTTACGCTGGCACCTCCAACTTTGAAGTCGTCGATTACTTCTATTTACAGAAAGTTGTAGCTTATAAAACATCTATACAGAAAATTAGTGTTTGACAATAAATTTTATTAGCAAGACGTTTTCTTCAGGAAACTGAACTTATGCGTATGCTAGCCTATTACACCCTTATTCCGCTACCAATTAAAAAACTTGACCTGAAGGGCGCATTGTGGAGATTTCCTCGCAAAAACAAATTTCTGGGGTGAGAGCGTACCTAGGCCACTTGGAGATTTTGGACCTGAAATCTCCTTACACTAAGAAATTTATTGAAATTTGATGTTATAGAAAGCGCAAGAAACGCACTTTCTAACGATACTAACTCTACCGCATTAGAGATGAAATTCTTTTAGAACAGCTGCTTCAAACATAAGGCAAAAAAAA